TAAATGTTTGATTACCTACAGAATTATCTTCTTGATAACTTATAGTTCTCAAATTTTCTAAATGTGTAATTTAACAATTAACATTATAAACATTACAAACAATATATATGCTAGTCTTACAAGCAATATCTGCAATCAGGAGGTAAGAAATACACACCCTTAACATAGTCCATAGGAGCTCTGGTGGTGTAGTGCCTAAGGCACTTGACTGCTAACCAGAAGGCTGGCGGTTCAAACCCACCAGCCACGGAAGTAAGGTTGGGCAATCCTACTTCTGTAGTGATACTGCCTCGGAAACCCAAGGAGGGGTCGCTATGAGTCAGGGCTGACTTGATGGCACCTAACAACAACAACAACAACAACATAGTCCATAAAGACAATGTTTTACATCCTACTTTGCTGAGTAGCAACTGAGGTCTTAGAAGCTTTTGAGCCATCTAAGTTACAACTATTAGTCTTTCTGTCTGGAGCAAAGAAAAATGAAGAAAATCAAAGACTTAAGGAAACAGTCCAACAGACGAATGGACCTTGCTAACCACACCTCCACTAGACCAGAACTAGATGGTACCTGGCTATGACTACTGACTGCTCTGTTGAGAATCACAAAAGAAGGTCCTAGATAGAATGGGAGAAAAATATAGAACAAATTCAAAATCACAGAAAAGTCCTTATTTAATGGTGTGATAGAGATGGTGGTCCTCCCAAGACTATGTCCCTTAGATACCCTTCAAACCTGGAACTGAACCCACTCCTGGAGATCACCTAGCTTAATAATAGGCCTATGTCATGGATTGAATTGTGTCCCCCAGAAATGTATCAATGTGGCTGGGTCATGATTCTCAGTGGTTTAGCAGTTTGGTAATGATGTAATAACATGGTAGTTATATAATGACCTCCCATGATGTGATCTGATGCAATAATCCAATCAGTTGTTAAGACGTTTAGGGTGGGATGCCACACACTTAATTCCATCACAGCCCTGACCTAATATAAGGGGAATTTCCCTGGGTTGCAGCCTACACCACCTTTTATCTTACAAAGTTCAGAAGGTGGCAGGAGGAAGCAGTCAAGATGGATGAATGGAAATGGGGAACACAGGGGAAGTGGGAAGAATGCTGTTACACTGAGGGAATTGCAACTAATGTCATGAAGCAAAATGTATAAATTACTGAATGGAAAATTAATTTGCTCTGTAAACTTTCACCCAAACCACACACACACACCCCCCAAAATAAATTAATAATGTCCTGCATTCAATAAGTTAATGTACACCTTTGTTCAAAAGCAAACTTATGTCATCATTGTAGGTGAAAAACATTTTCTCATCTTCAAGAGACTTTATCCTTCCACTTAGTATTTTATAATCATGTGAGATCGGCACCTAAAATATTTATTGCTGGGTGGTAGGACTGCATGTAACCATGATTTTAATATATATATATATATATATATATTTTTTAAAGCAATGAATCTCTATAGTTTTCAACACCAGAAGAAATAAAACTGTTTTTGTCTTCTCTTTAAAACAAAATCATTCAGGTTACCCAGGGTAGATAGAGAATTGGTTTGAAATTGCCATGCAATTAACACAGATTTAACCAAGTTGTATTAAGTAAGGTCTATAAGAAAAAACTTCGGATTTTAAACTGGTATCCAGAGGGCCAGGGCCATTTGGTCCACCTAGACTTATATTTAAAAAACAGTACAGGTTGCTAATTTTGGCTTCACATACACACGAACGATCCTCCCTCCCTGTGGGATTTAATTTTTCTAATTTTTATTCTGCTTCTGGAACTCAAAACTAAAGCCTGAGATAGCAAATATGTAAGGGTTTTCCTGTTGTCCTGGGTAAGTAACAAATCTAGGTAATTTCTCCTTCATGGATTTTCAAGTGTAATGGCATTTAACTTTAAATGGTTCTTAAAAGTTTTTAGGTTGGCTTGAGAGAAAAACTCAAACACGAGGGTGTCATTTTTTCAATGCCTTGTAGTGAGACTAAATGAACGTGTTTTATCATTCTGTAACACAGGGAGCAGCAAACACCTCCTAAGGAGTGAGGGAACTAAGGAAACAGTGTTTTGACATTTTCATGCATAAAAGAAATAATGTATACAATCACCTAAATATTCATATGTGGTTTAAAAATGCATGTATTTCCCCTTTTGGAAAGTCTTATATAATTGTTTTTTGCTTCTTTTACATATGCTAACTCTTCCTAACTAGGCATCAATTCACCGCAGGGTAAAAACTCTAGGACAAACTAATCTGGAGAAAACTATGCATTTACTCTAATTAATCTACACTTGAAGTAACCAGGACAGAGAGAATGTAACATAATATAATCCAATCCCATGAAGAGTAAGTCTGAAAGGGAAATACGATTTCAGTTTTTGTGTTTAAAAAGCCAACTAAGAAATGTATAAAAACAATGAGGCAACTAGAGGGGATGGAAGGAATCTCAGCATATCCAGAAATTAATAAAACACTTGGAAAAACAAATATAAATTTAATAATAAACATTATGGTCAGGCTGTTTATTAAGGAGGCAACCACATATACAAGTTCAGCTATAGAAATGCTTGCAAATCAAACTTCAGGTGATCTGAAAGGACCATGCGTAATGTCAAAAATGGACACCTGTACATTCAATAAAAAGTTAAACATACATAGTCTAGACCATTCTAGAGTTATACACACATCTGGGGCCACATATGTATCTAATTTTCTTTCAAAAATTTTTTTTTTATAAAAATGATGTATTGAGATAATAATTTAAAAAAGTATCTGACAATTATGAATGGTCCCCAGTTTTACAAAATGTGATTTCCAGGGTATGAAAACTGAAAAAAGTCAACTCTTCAGAGAGTGTTTTATATTATACAAACAAGTTTTATAGAAAAATGATCCAGCAAATGCTTGAGTTAAGCATATTTATATTTTTTCCAATTCTTTACACTTTTATTAACACACTTACAAAAAATAACATTCAAACACTGAGAAAATTAAATAACTTTGGAAGCAGAGCTAACAGCTTTCTGCTTACATATAAGTGACAATTCTGGGCTGTTGGCACAAAAAAATAATCCACATTCAGAAAACCCTTACTACTATGTATCAAACATAAATTAAAATCATAGGCACTAGTTTATCAACTCCACATTTCTTCTGTAAGACTAACCACAGCCATCTTTAGACTTTCCCAAACAGAAAAACTGGCAATATAGAAAGCTTCCTAATAAAAATGCAATTTTTCTCTTTAGGAAACTGAAAGCCAATAGTCTGTGGTAGTACAACAGCAGGTAAAATAATACTTTACCAAACTCAGATCCAAAATACGTTTTTAACAAGTGATGAAATATTTAGTTAAAAAAAAAATAGACATTTTTTCTGATGCAGCCATTTAAAAACAAAGTTTAATAACCTGAATATTCCTTTTAAAAATGATAAAACTTAAAAAATGTTAAGGATGTTTCATAATGGAATTATTAGGTTGCAGCATATTTTTCTGTTTTGCAATGATGCACTGAAAACTGAGACCTATTATGTGTATACGTGGTTTTTAAAATAGACAGTGGCTAGTTCTTTCTTTTACTTACTTAGATTTACACGAGATACCCGCCCCACCCAAAGCAGATACTTTATCTTCTTCTGAAACTCAACATTTTTTAGTTCATCATCATGTGGAATTCTGGTACCAACTTTCCCAACCCACCCCATCACCCTCAAATTCAAGGATACAATTTCTCCCTTGCATCGTATACCACACCACGTTAGCACTGGCAGTTGAAATCTCCAGCTGCTCGTGCTAACCAAATGACTCCCTACCGGTCAAGCTGATAAATCCTACCATGGTGGCAGTCATGGCAGAATGGGGGTCTTGGTTCTAAGTTTTATCATTCCCTCAGCCTATGAACAACCTCAATGCTGTTCTGAATATCAAGTCTCCCATTTCTCTCTCACTTTCTTTTGTCAACTTACAGAAAGCTCATTTCCTGTTAATCAAAAGCAGTGTTCAAATCTCTGAAACCTTTTAGGTGACCTAATTTCCAATATTTTAGAGCTGTTCAAATTAAATATTTTGAAACAGACCTCACTATTGAAAAGGAGAAGCCTGTTACAGAAGGAAGTTTTAGTCTGGTAATAGTCTGATAAAACCAAAAATAGTGATTTCAAAGGTATATATATGAGCCATTAAAGAGCAAGTAATTAACAGTAATAGTCTTATGTACCAGGTTTCATTTTGTTACCAAAATGCAAAAATTGATGTAAGGCAAACTCTAAGCAAAAGGGACAGTATTTTTAAAAGATGTTTTATACATTTACAGTTTAAAGTGGATCAACTTAAGTAGAATTTAGCAGGCTATATTTTCCTACCACATAAAAAAAAAAGTCACATCGTTTAATATCAACAATACAACTGTCGTCACCAGAGATTTTGTAGGTTAGTGCATAGATATTTTTCCCCCCTCTTTCATTGTATGGTTTTGTTCCAGGTTGTAAGCACTGAGGTGTTGCTGTACCAAGAATAAAGACACACTACTTGCTCTTTCCCACCACGGAAGCCTGCTAATAAAAACAAGATTTCTTAGTTCTGCAATAGATAACAGCATGTGAAGAAGTTGGCTTCAGTAGCAAAGGCCATCATTCCTGAGCCAGGAACTATAAAGTTTAGAAAGATTGTACAACTGATACTAAGCCCTTTTGGCAATCAAAACAAACACATAAAAGTCTGGTATGTCAATGCACATGACGGGTGCACACTGTAACACTATCTGGTGGTGGTGATGATACATTAGCTACATCCCAAACTTAAGATTAAACAAAATGACATGTTGAGAAAACAATTTTTCTGATGAATCTGTAAAAATAATTTCTAGAATTCTCCCAAATTTAGATGTTTTAAATCCCTAGTCCAAGTTTCTTATTTCTCTCTCAATCTAGCTTTCTGGAGTGTTAGTGAAATACTAATGAAACACTTTAGATAATTAATCAGAATATTAGTTCTCATTAACACAAATATTTATTGGTACAATTTATACAGTAAATTAAGTTGACCGTGAGGTTTTGGATAGCCTGAATTTACCATTTTCTTGTGCACAAAGGTACTCTTTCATTCATAAACGGGCATTTCTCTTTGGCATCCATTAGGTTTCTGCCCAGATATTGGCCTCTGTCAAATATTAAAAAATCAACTTGGTTTCTATTGAACAAAACTAAAAATGATTCCATGGAAAGTGATTGTATGATTACCAAACGCATTTGATGTTAAATGTCATTAAAGTGCTGCTTGATCATCTCTGTCAGTTTGTGCTAATTAAGACAGAGAGGGTTGGGATTTTATAAACCCCAGGAGTCTTATCTGAACAGTCTGCATATCAAAGTTGTTGTTTAGCCTGGTGAACTGGTGTCCATGAAGCCGTGGACGTCTGCATTCTTATCTTTGCAGTCAATAGCAGCCATCTTTCCAACTGTCATCTTTCATGTTACCATAGGTTTTAGGAGCTGGCAAGGATCTGAAAAAAGCAATTTTATAATGTGATTTGCAAGGCTTCATTATGATCTCCCATGCACATTAATTACTTTGAAGATGGCATTGTGACCCCATGAAGGCTGTTTCAGGGGACTATTAAGACCAAAGTTCTAAAAAGCTATTATTAGTACAACCTTCCCACATTCAGCATCTTCACAACTTTCAAGCTTTACTGGGCATCAGGTGACTTCCCTAATCTCTTTCAGTTAACATACAGAGTTAAAAAAAGAAAAAGATCATCTTACCTTTTTCAACCACATGGGTAATCAACCTTATTATTTTTTGGACAGAGTGATAAATATGATAGCAGAGACTCAGTATACCATCACTGGAGAGGGAGTGTGGGTGGGTAAAAGGACTTTGAAGTCACACATTCTCGGAACTAAAGGTCTTATTTTTTGTGTGATGTAAGGCAAATTACTCAACCTCAATGAATTTCAATATCCTCTTCTATAAAACAGAAATAATAGTAGTACTTACTCTTGTCCTGGAAGAAGTGCAGCCAGAATGCTCCTTGGAAGCAAGAATGGCCAGACTTCATCTTTGTCTCCCCTACTTTGGTCATGTTGTCAGAAGGGACCATTAACTGGAGAAGGAAATCATCCTTCGTGAAGTGAAGGGTCAATGAAAAAGGGGAAGGCTCTGAACAAGATGGACTGACATGGTGGCTGCAGTGATAGACTCAGGTATAGTAGGGATCATGAGGCTGGCACAGGACTAGGCAGTGTTTTGTTCTGTTGTACATATGGTCACCATGAGTTGGAGACGACTCTACAGCACCTAACAACAATATCCACCAACCACTTCCCTATGTTTTCAGAATGCTGCAACAGAGCAGGTACATTTGCCACTTACCTGCGAACAGGCTGTGCAAGTTTGCTGCGAGGCACTGGTATACCCCCAGCAGAAGGGGCACTGGGTCTGGGCAAGCCACTCCTCATTACCGTTGTCCCTGCAGGTCTGGTTAGAGTAGCACTGTTGATACTGCTGGGAGGATTTGCTGGGACTGTGCTCTGAACCACGGAAGGCCCAGGTGAGGAGGTGGTTTGTGTGAGCTGTGTTATATCTTGGCTACCAGAAGAGCCAGAGCCATGGTTACTAAATGCTTTCACTGGTTGCCGGAGAGCCAAAGGAGATGGTGCTGCAGGGGAGCGGAATTTGCCTGGAGAGGGTACTGCAGAATGGTAAAGGAAGAAACCGTTTCAGTGAAAATCAGGTGTAAGGGAAAACCACTGCTTTACATTACACTCGATGATTGGGCATCAATATTTACAAAACATCACTCTATAGAAATACAAGGAATAAAGAGTATTTCTGGGCTAATTAAAAAAAAGAAAACTAGTGAGTTCTAGAAAACCACATCTTTACTTAGAGGGTTCAACTGTCCTTGACAACAGTGGTTTAGCTAGGCCAGCTTGGAGTCTACAATACCAAAAGAAACAAGGCACTGCAGGAGTCTGTGTCACTACAGCAACTAACTAGGGCCACATACAGACATACCAGAGGTGAAAAAAAGACTGACCACTAAATTGTTGACTACAAGCTGAAACATATCCCCCTCATTCCCAAGAAACATTTATGTAAATATGTACCAAGTATTTGGTGGTTGTATCTCCAAGTCTTATTTCACATATAGTGCAGCATAACCATACTAATTTAAGAAACTATTACTATTTTAAAAAACTGCTTCTATTGCTGTGCTTCACAGAGAAGTTATTATTTATTTATTTATTTATATCAAAAGGCATATGAAGTAACAGGATAAAATGGTACATTATCTCTGGTATGTGGTAGGTTAAAACACTTTTAAATTAAAACAAACTCAGACATATTAAAGAATAAAATGTACAATATGCATTACCTTTGAAGCCAAAAGATTTCAAACAATTTTTGACTGTGTGGGATACATGATTGGTCTATACAAGATTGGTCTAACATTCTATAATCAATCAATATAATTCCATACATTAAGAGACTAAAACCAGAAAACTATTGGATCATTCCAATAAATGCAGAAAAACCCTATGACAAAATTGAATTATGCATCTATGACTAAACAAATAGTAGGGAAATTCCTCAATATGATAAAGAGTGTTTATGCAAAACCTAAAGGTAAAGTCATAGTAAGAGACTGAAGCCTTCACCGAGTGGTGAAGGAAGCACAGTAGTTTGCTTTTCTCCCTTCCATTTATCCTCACACTGGAAGGCTTCGCTGGAACAATAAAGCAAGGAAAACAAACAGAAGGCATGGAAAAGAAGTTAAACTGCCTATACTTGCCACTGACATGACTGCATAGTAAGATATATAAAGAAATACTAATAAGCTTGAGTTTAGCAAGGTATCAAGACACAGGTTAATAAACAAAAATCAAATTATTTCTATGAACCAGCAACATAAAACTGGGAAATGAAATTTAAAAACAATACCTAAAAATATGAAATGCTCAGGAATAAATTTAACAAAACATATTTGGTATCTGTTTATTAAACTACAAAATGTCGCTGAGAGAGCGAGAGGGAGAGAGGAAGAAAGGGAGGGAGAGAGAGGGAGAGACCTAGCCTGAGCGACTTTATTTCTCTTTCCTTTGGATTTGCAACCTTTTGACTTCCACTTGTTTAGGGACTCTTGCTGACCGTCCATGTTTTTTTTTTTTTTTCCTGTCAATGCTGCTTTTTCCATTTCTCTTTCCAGTACTTCCCATGTTACTTCTTTGTTCCTTAACTGCAAGTTACCATTACTTGAATCTTTGGCTTTATCCAGTACTTTAGATTTTTCTTTAAATAGCATCATTTCTTTTTTGCTCAGATGACAAAGTCTATCCATTTTATTTCTCCATTGTTTGAGAAAAGGATGTGCAAATCTTCTCTATAGGTCTCATCATCTAGACCACCCCAAAATTTCAGCAAGCAGCCATTTTCACTTCTAGAAATTTCATTTCAGCGTCTTCTTTTGTTTTTCTTCTTGTTCTTATTTAGTTTCTATTTTCTTTTCTCTCTTCATTCTTTTTTAGCAAAGTATTCTTTCTTGAAAAATGTAAGCAGTTCTCTTTCTCTGTATTTCTGGCCAGGGGTCTTTACAAACGTCTTAGCAATTCAATTCAATGCTGTAAAACACAACAAATACTGAAACCTTAAATGCTTTGTGAGATGTTCTTCTCATCTGAATATTTAGTTTGATATGTTTGTTTAGACCTTTGCCTTTTAACAATTCTTTGATGTTGTCAAGGGTTGCATTGGTTGGGAAGCATTTAACATAAACAGCTGTTTTTTTCATTTAAAATTTTTTTTGGTGCTTTGGGCGCAAATTTACAAAGCAAATTTGTTTCACATTCAACAGTTTGTGCACATTTGATTTCATTTTACACATCATTTTTATACCCATCAGTCTCTTCAGGGAGTGGTCTGCTTGGAGATCTTCTGATTTTTGTTTTATGTTCACTTACTTCCATGAGTTCTTCCTTCTGTTTGCTCAATGCTTCTACTATTAAATTAAAATCTGTTGTTAGATGGCTTAACCTGTTGAATATTATCATCATCTCCAAAGATACCCAGAATTCATCCAGTTTGATGTGTTTGTTTAAAACTTTGTCCTGTGGCAAATTAAAGTCATCAAAATAATACTCAATTTGATAATAGATTTTGGCCTTCAGTGCAGCCATTTTTTTTTCCCTATCACCATTTTCAGCCATTGTGGCTATTAGAAAACTTTCCTTTATGGTTCCAGTCCTACAGGGGCACACCAAAGGAGCTATCTACAGCAGTAACAACATCCCGAATTCCACGCACTGTAAGCCTGCCTAGCATGTGTAAAGGAGATCTCCAATCTTATCTTGAAATTAGGCTTTCTGGAAAGCACTCTAAGGCGGCCTCTTGCAGCAGATTTGCCTAGTGCAATACATTGTCTAATTTCTTGACTGCTGCTTCCATGGGTGTTATGGTGAAACCAAGTAATATGAAATCTTTGACAACTTCAATCTTTTCTCTATTTATCATGAGGCTGCTTATTGGTCCAGTTGTGAGGATTTTTGCTTTCTTTATGTTGGGGTGTAATCCATACTAGACATTCTGAGTCTAATCATCTTTAATCTTCATCAGTAAGTGCTTCAAGTAATCTTCACTTTCAGCAAGCAAGGTTGTGTCATCTGCATATCACAGGTCGTTAATGAGTCTTCCTCCAATCCAGATGCTGCATTCTTCTTCATATAGTCGAGCTTCTCGGATTATTTGCTAAACATAAAGATTGAATAAGTATGGTGAACGGATACAACCTGACACACTCCCTTCCTGATTTTAAACTATGCGGTATCTTCTTGCTCTATTTTGAATGATAGCCTCGTCTATGTACCGCTTCCTCATGAGCACAATTAAATGTTCTGGAATTCCCATTCTTCTCAATGTTATCTATAATTTGTTATTTATAGTCCTCTAGTGTTGTCAAAATTAAATCTGACGTTTAAAGCATAAATTATAACACTGCTTTGGGCAAAACATATGTAGAGAAAATACGTAAGACAATTATAAATGGGGACGGTAAAGTGACATTAAAGGAGGTAAGGTTTATATATTTAATTTAATTGTTAAAATGACAACAATAAATGGACTGTGATAAGTTATGTATATACAATGTAATACTTACAGTGACCACTACAAAAGCTATACAGAGAAACACACTCAAGTATACTGTTGTTAATTCCCACTGTATGGATTCCGACTCATACCAATCCTATGAGTGCAGAGTAGAACTGCTCCAGAGAGTTTTTCAAGGCTGTGACCTTATGGAAGCAGAATGCCAGACTGTCTTCTTAGGCACCTCTGAGTGAGTTTGAACTGGCAACCATTTAGATAAATCAAAATAGAATTCTAAAGAATGTTCAAGTAACTCATAGGAAGGCAGGAAATATAAAACAGAGGAATGAAAAACAAAGGACAGAAAACAAAAAAGAAAATGGCAGACTTAATCTCTAACACACAGTCCTGAAAGGAAAGGACTATGTAAATGGTCTATAAACACCAATTACAAGACAGATATTTGGCAGAGTGGATTAAAAAATGACCCAACTCTGTCTACAAGAAACTAATTTTAAGTATAAAAATATAAGGAGGTCAAAAGTAAAAGGATGGGAAACCATGAAATTATGGCTCTCAGACACCTTTCGAACCTGGAACTGAAAATGAACTGTGGCTCAACTTTCAGACAAACAACAGGCAGACCTGTAAAGTAAACAATAACACCAGGGATGTATGCACTCCTCAGAACAATCATTCACTGATCAAAAGGACAATTATTTGCCCAGGGTTAAAGCTCAGAAGCTAAGAACGGATAGGAAAGAAGGATGAATGAAAATGGTAAACACAGGGAGAAAGTGGAAAGAGTGCTGTTACACTGTGGGGACTGCAATCACTGTCACAAAACAAAATACGTGATTGAATGGAAAAAGAATTTGATCTGTAAACTTTCACACAAATTACAATAATTTTTTTTTTTTTAAGTAAAAGGATGGAAAAAGATATATTATGCACATAATACAAGGAAAGCAGTAGTAGCCAAACTAGTATCAGATAAAGTAGATTTCAGCGTAAAGAAAATGATCACAGGCAAAGACATATATTACTTAATGATAAACAGGTTAAACAACCAAGGTGATATAACAATCCTAAATACGTATGTTTATGAAGGAAAAAGTGATAGAATTGAAAGGGAAAAAAAAATCCACAATTATACTTGGAGACTTCAACATCCTCCTCTCAACTATTGATAAAACTAGACAGAAAAATCAGTGAGAATATAGAAAAACTTGACAGCGCCACCAACCAAAGATCTACTCAACATTTATAGGATACACACACACCCCACCCAACAACATCTTTTTTTAAAAAAAATTTATTATTTGGATGAAAGTTTACAGAGCAAATTGAGTTTCCATTCAAGAATTCATACGCATTTTGTTTTGTGACACTGATAGCATGGCCCACAATATAACAGCACTGTTCCCACTTCCCCCAGTGTTTACTGTTACCGTTCAACCTTCCTTCCTATCCCTTCCTGTCTTCTGAGATTTATCCCTGGGCAAACGCTGCCCTTTCGATCTCCTGTGGTTGATTGTCCTAATGAGTGTCATGTACCTTCCTAGTGTTACTGTTTGACCTCTTACTGCTTGGATGAAAGTTGAGCCA